TAGCTCGATTTGATTTTGCAGGTACTAGTCTCGGATCAACAAGTTTGGTGGATGCGAGGTAGTGAACCGGAGGACCGAAATCCACGCATCAACAAAATCAAACTTTTTAGAGATTATTTTTAAAATTTTAAAGTTCATAGATTATAATTGAGATAAGACTTGAATCTCTGACTTCACGAAAAAATATTTTATAGTTCAGCTATTCTTAAATTGACAAATAATAATACTAAAATGCATAGACTCTTTTGCAAAATAGATGTATTTTCCTTTTGGTTAAAATTTAAAAAAAAATAAACAAGGTTGAAAAAACCGATGATTTTTGTTATTTTTTTTAAAAACAGTCAGTTTAACGGTATTCATGAAAAAAAAGCATATTTTTTTAAAATATAAACTAGAGTATATTTCTATTTACTTAAAAAAAAACTACAAATAACGAATACTGAAAAAATAAATAAAAAAAACAGAAATAAAAGTAGTGAGAGTGACAGAACACAACTCCGAAGAGAGGGGGTAGAAAACGGTTCAAGTTGTAGAATAGAAAATGGGATGCACTGACTCCATTGAAGCTCTCCATTGACTTTCTTCATTTTCTCTCTCTCTTTGAAAATTCTTCTTTTTAAGCAATTGGTAGAGAAGTCGAAGTTGTGGGGGCGGCGGTCAACCAAATACAGTGGAAACCAAGGATGTCGGCAAGGTCACAGAATTCTTTTGACAGAGAGGCACTGCCAGATTTGATCGACTGAGACGTCCAGAAGAAGCAATATACCTCCATTCAAGATCCCCACAAATCAACTGTATTTCTTTATTCAAAATCAACGGAGATTTGGACTTTGTGTTCATTCCCCTGTTTCTTTCGGTTCTTCAACTTATTCTCTCCGCATTTGATGGTGGCATTCTCTGGTAATTAGAGCTGAACATCGCTTGGGTTGATTTTAGGTTTTGGCTTGAATCTCTGTTCTGTTTGGTTTCTGGGGTGGTCTTAATTATGGAGATTGCAAGATTCAGCGTTGTAAGCTGCTTGGTGGTGATTTCGTTGTTGGCAAGTGGGGATTGCAACCTGGTGTTCCAGGTTGAGCACAAGTTCAAGGGCCGTGAGAAGTCATTGAGTGCGTTCAGAGTCCACGATTTGCACCGTCGCGGCAGATTTCTCTCTACCTCTCCTATCGATCTCCAATTGGGTGGCAGCGGCAACCCTTCTGAATCTGGGTTAGTTTTCATTAAAATTCTGCAATCTTTATTCGGTAATCTTAGTTTCTAATCGCTTGTTTAGTGGATGGATAGTTTAAGATTCCGTTGTGATCTTCTTTCCAAAAAGGTTTGTGTGATTGGATCCATTTCTATTCTATCTGCTTCAAGTAAATACCGTGTAGAATCTTTTCTTATTTTTAAATTTCTTTACGCTTTCTAAAATCACTGCATAAGTTTTTTTACTGGCTTACGGACTTGGGTGTTTGGGGGACTTGATAACTATGTATTTTTCCTTTCATTATTTCTTTTTCTTGCTATTGTTCCTCCTCTGATGCAGAGTATTGATTACTTTTTCATCCTTTTTTGTGATGCTTGCACCAAGATTCCGTTTATCATATTAATTGTTGGATGGTGGATATATTTATATGCTTTCTTTTCTCCATCTGTTGGATTAGGCTGTACTTTGCTAAAATTGGGCTTGGGACGCCTGCAAAGGACTATTATGTACAAGTGGATACAGGAAGTGACCTTTTATGGGTGAATTGTGCAGGCTGTACAAACTGTCCAAGGAAGAGTGATCTTGGTGTAAGTCTCTTCAACTTAAAAAATGCTTCTTGTATTTTTCATTATGGTCAGAACAAGTCATCAAACATTAGTCACTTCTCATCTTATTGCATTGATCGAAATTTCACAAGCTATGATCTGATTATTGAAAAAACATCCATTATATGATCATTCGGCTACAGATAGAACTGACTCTATACAATCCATCGAGCTCCAGTACTTCAAACATCGTTACATGTAATCAAGATTTTTGCACTTCCACATACGATGGTCCAATTCCTGGTTGCAGGCCCGATCTACTCTGTGAATATAAAGTTGCATATGGAGATGGAAGCTCAACTGCTGGATATTTTGTAAAGGATCATGTATTACTTGACCGAGTGACAGGAAATTTTCAAACTGCATCTACAAATGGGAGTATAATATTTGGGTAAGGGTAGCATTTTCTACATTATCATTTATTTTTGCACTGTGTCTGGGAGCTGAAATTTTGGGAGATTCTGTTGCTAATCTAGTAACTATAATAGTTTGAAGAATATGATGCCTTGAGGAATATGATGATGTTGACTGTAACAAAAAGAAAAGAGAACTCTTTAGATGCTTTGAGATTGTTACGTTTATAATCTACCTTGAACAAGTAAGTTCAAGTCATTTGGGTAATTTACTTTCTCAAATGCTTTTATTCGTTGGATCTTTACCGTCTCCAAAGTTGTGGTTTTTTAAGCAATGGCTATATGGTTTTATTGTTTTGAAAATTCAAGTTCTTTTATATGAATTTGTTATTGCATCTTGAAATTTTCTACTTGTACAATGATTTAGTAAAGAAATGTTTTTGGATGAATATTAGATAACTCAATCACTAACCAGTCATCTGTTTGAAATATTGTATATTTAGGGATTAATAGTTACCTACCAAGAAGAGATTGTTATTAATTTCCCCTCTTCAATTGGCTGCTGTTGGCGTGACAATGTTTTAGCCGACATTGCTGTTACTGTTAGTAAATCCCAGCATCTCCTTTTATCTAACTGTGATGTAATATTTAAGTGCCATAAATGTGCTACGTTTCCTTCGTGTAATTTGGCATTGACTTAATCATTTTATGTTTCTTTTGGTGCCTGTTTGATGACTTTCCATAATGCATGATTTATTTCTGGTCTTATACTTTTTTATCTCTTCATGCTTATGTTTTTTTCCCTTGATGGATGGATAGTTGTGGCGCTCAACAGTCTGGCCAATTAGGTGCAACATCTGCTGCGCTTGATGGGATACTTGGTTTTGGACAAGCAAATTCATCCATGATCTCACAGCTGGCTTCATCAGGAAAAGTTAAAAGGATTTTTGCACACTGCTTAGATAATATTAATGGAGGTGGAATTTTTGCCATTGGGGAGGTGGTCCAGCCAAAAGTCAGCACTACTTCATTGGTGAAGCAACAGTACGTTGGTATTCCTTGCGATTAGTATTTTTTTGTCATTTTGAATCTATAATGTTGATTTACTTTAGAAACTATAAATGCTGAGGGATAGTATATTTTGGGTGAAATATTTTCATATTAATGTTGTTAGAATTCATATAAATGAATTAAATTTACCTAACTCATCAGCTTAAGCTTTTGGGTTGAGTGGTGGTTTGTTCATCGAACCCCTGCGTTGTCGTTTCCTCCCCATTTATTATGATTTCCACTTGTTGGGTCTTGGGTCTTGATGTTGTTTTCCAAGCCCACAAGTGAGGGGGAGTGTTAGAATCCATATAAATGAATTAAATGTACCCAACCCATCAGCTTAAGCTTTTGGGTTGAGGGGAAATTGAAAGCAGATCAATGAAAAATCCCATAGAAAATGAAGAAAAGTGAACTTCCAGAGCCATAATGTCATACCAATTTTATTGAAATGTATGCACAGATATTTTATCTATACGTTTGATCCTCACGCTACTTTGGAGACTCCTTCAACAAGGCCTCTACATCAAGTATTCCTTTTGATATTACCTGTTGAGGCTTTCATAGAGTCGTTCGAATTAGTAGGACCCAGGCCTTTTCCTTCATGAATTGTTAGTGTTGGAAGCCTTTACCAATTATGATTTTCCTTCTTTGTATAGGTTGTATTTCGAGATTGTAATGGGTGGGCTTTTTTGGAAGGTTCCCCCACTTATAGTTCTTTGTTGGAATCACATAGGTTTCCAAGGCAAGTCTTGTGAGCCCAGTTGATCCTTCTCCTCCTTTTTCCCTCCAACATCTCTGAATATTTTGAATTTTTGGGGATAACATTGTCACTTTCCAGCCATTTGGTCAGTCCTTATGCTGGTTGGGTACCTCCTACACCGTAGTTACAAAAAACCTTCTTGTGGATTGTTGCCCACCAAGAAGCCATATGTTTAATATTCACACAAAAAGAATCCACCAAGGCCCTTTTTCCTTAAAAAATTCTACTATTTCTTTCTTTTCATAGAAGCCATAGGAGAGCCCTTGCCGCACAATTCCAGAGAACAAAGGATTTCCCTCTAAGAGTAAAACCACCAAAACCCTCGGTGATGAAATCATCAATTTTTCTAGGAGGACAAAAAGAAAAATCAAGAGCAGCAACCACAAAATTCCAAGCTTGGATAGCAAAAGGGCAATGCAGAAATAAATGGTCAATGTTTTCGGTATCCTTCCAGCACATATGGCACACTGTTGGAGAAAGTGTCCAATGGGGAAGTCTTCTTTGCACCTTATCGGGCGTATTAATACCCCTATAAAACAGGGTCCAAAGGAAAATTTTGACCTTCTTTGGCACCCTAAAGTTCCAAATAGAAGAGGCAGTAGCAGAATTCAGCTTTTTCGAGGGAGAGGTGATGGCCAAGAAGGTTGATTTGACTGAGAACGTGCCTTTGCTATCTGCTTTCCACCCAATCCTGTCTCTTCCTTGGCCTAGAATCACCCCTTCCAATTTTTCAGTGAGGGCAGCCCATCTATCAATCTCCCTATCAAAAATATGTCTTCTGAAGCCTAAATCCCACGTTCCAGCCTCTGAAACCCAATAGTTAGCTATCGAACAACCCTTCTTAGAAGAGAGCCTATACATATCTGGGGAGGAGGTAGCAAGAGCTGTAGAATCCACCCAAATGTCCTCCCCAAAACGCACTTTTTCTCCAGAAGCCACTTCGAAGAAGGCGAGGGTTGTGAATTTCCTTCTCGTTTCTTGAATGTCTCTCCAAGGCCTTCCTATTGAGGTACCATTTGTTGGATGCGTCGACCAACCAAGAGCTTATTCTTCGTAGATAGCAGCTATGATTTTCCTCCAGAAACTATCCTTCTCTTCCCCAAATCTCCATAAACACTTCATAAGGAGGGCGTTGTTGCGAAGCTTTAAAGAGCCAACACCTAAGCCACCTTGTTGATCAGATTAGATAACGCAGCACAATCCCATCTACCTCCGTTCCAGATAAAGTCTCTGATGATCTTTTCCATCGAAGAAATCACAACCTTGGGAGCCTTGAGGATAGAAAGATAGTAGATGGAGATGCTGTTTAGAACGGATTGAGCCAATGTAAGGCGACCCCCTTTCGAGAGCATCATAGAACACCATTTTTGAAGACGCCCTGCCAAAACGGCTCTGAAACAAACAAAAAAAAAGGTGCGTGCTGCACTCACGAGGGACTGCCAGTGATATACTGGAGAAAGGTGGGGATGACGTCAAGTCCGCATGGCCCTTATGGGCTGGGCCACACACGTGCTACAATGGCAATTACAATGGGAAGCAAGGCGGTAAGGCGGAGCGAATCCGGAAAGATTGCGTCATTTCAGCTTGTTCTCTGTTACTCGGGACCAATATTTCTCTTCACTTACACCACCTCTTAAAGTCTTGCAAGATCAATCGAAGGAGTCAATATTATTATCTTAGAATTGTATTGTCGTGTATCATGTGAAGGCACCATGAAAATTGATACCTCTAATGGTGTAAAGCTTAACAAATGCCAACGCCACGATCATATGGAAGACTAGGAACTGGCTAGGGTTGTAGAAGTTCTGTCAGAGATGTTACTAAATATTTCTGTTGTTGACAAATGTCACAACTGGTGACATAGTCTCCCATGGTCTTCCTCATCGCTCCCCTAAATTAAACTGAGCAACCAACCCCATACTCGAATGCATCTCTCTCTACCACAAATTCCTGGTTGAAATTAGAAAAAGAGTGAGAGATCGAATTTATCGTTCCTTTCTGAAATTAGAAAGAGTGAAAGATGGAATTTATCATAGTATATTTCTTGTATGGAAAAGATATATAAGTAGTCCTAATTTTATAGTGTATTTGGCTAGTAGGTATACAAATACATGATAAAAGAATATGGAAAGAAGGTGAATATAAGAAAATGTCCAAATATAGTGGGATATATGAAACAAGTGCTCCAACGATAGAAAAGACAGGTCGGAAATGTATGCTGGGTTTAGGATAAAAAACCAATATCTTAAAAAATCCATCTCAAGTTGAGTTATATATGATTGACCAAAACTTGGATCCCGATTCTTCAAATTTTGTCCTTGACATGGGTTTGGTGAGAATGTCAAACTGTTCACTGAGAAAGAGTTAAACTAGAGCAATGATTTTTCCTTCCATCTTTTCTTTGATATATATGCCTATCTATGTTGAGATGATCACAAGAGTGTTCTCGTGGCAATGCTGAAGGCATGGTGAAAACTTTTGAAAATTTTCCAATTACCTTGTGAACCGTAATTGGTGTGTCAATAGCGTTTTTGTTGGTTATCAAACATGGGGAAATAAGGATTTTGGATGCCCATAGGGAAGGAGAATAGTTGCAAGCAAGCAACCCCCATATGTGGGTAATTTGCTGCTTATTTTACCCTTCTCGATTGTAAAATAGATTAGTCCTTTGATGTTGGTTTTTATATGCATTACAAATTGTTCTTCAAGTATTTATCCTTTCTTTTCTTAATTGGTGGCCCCTGGACTTAGTTATTTCATCATCTACTTTAGGGCACATTACAATGTGGTTATGAAGGCAATTGAGGTTGGCAGTGACGTGCTGAATCTACCCACAGATGTTTTTGAGACTGATTTTAGGAAAGGAACAATTATTGACAGTGGAACAACATTGGCTTATTTTCCAGACGTGATTTATGATCCATTGATTACCAAGGTAACACATAAAAGTATTTCTTTATATTTTAAGTTTGTGTTCTTGCTTTCCTATCATAAGACGATTTAAAGTTTATGTTTCTGATACTGAATCTGTATTTACTATGCTAGATTTTTGCAAGGCAGAGTGGACTGAAGTTGCATACTGTTGAAGAACAGTTCACCTGCTTTCTATATCATGGAAAGTAAGACGAGAAGATACCTACCTGACTAAGTTCACGTGACCTTTGTTGAACTTATAGAATATCGATATTATCGTTCTAACTTTGATGCTCATTTAGATTTTTTTTCTCCTTTCACATGATAGTTAAATGCCTAGGCTAGTTTTGTATTTTCTGATGCTGTTTTCTTTTTTGGTCAGTTTTTTCTTGATTCATGAGCAAAGATTTATTAGTTTTGTCCCTGGGTAAATGATATCCATGTCAATAATAGTACTAAATCGCTGGAGGAAAAGAGATATCTCGAATTAACATGTAAACAGTTCATCATATTTTAAATAACTTAAAATGGATTGTGTCTTGTACTAAAATCATGTTATTGTTCCTGTGTTAAAATTGGAAAGCTATGAATTTTAATTTCAATTAATCATCATAGTTACCCCAAAGACTCTGATGACAAGAGTTTGAGATGTTTGGAGATACCCTCTCGGAATTGGCCTTCGGATAGGTGAAGCCTCTATAGGGTGGGGTCATGAGTGGGGCTGTAACACCCTGGTTATCTAAAAAGGATGCTAATTATTTTAAGAGTTTAGCTTAGTTTTCTTTATCCAATGAAAACATCCTCGCACATAATTACATTGTGGAAGATACTTGTAACCGTTGGTGAATTAAAAATGTTCGTTATCTGGACATTCTTTGAAGTTGCTAATGTGGCTTTTATGTTCTTCATGCAGTGTTGACGATGGATTTCCAACTGTTACATTCCATTTTGAAGATTCACTATCTTTGATAGTTTATCCCCATGAGTATCTATTCGATATTGCGGTGAGTGAAATGAACTTTAAAGTACGATTAGAATTCCCTTTTCTCATTCTTTATTGACAGTCACCTCAATATTAAAAATCTATAATTTAAAGGTCAGTGGGTTATTAATTACGAAAGTTTCCCTGGGAAATTTTTTGGTAACACATCCAAGTTTGTTTGTTGTAGATGGGTTGCCACTAATAGCAGTTAACTAAATTAATTAATTGTCAAGTGGTTGATACATCAATCTCAGCTAGAAAGCATACTGAACCAATTATGCTAGTGCAAACTATGGCTATTTATGGATTTCTTATGATTTTTCACATACCATTGTGAATTACTTGTGCTTTCTTCTTTTTTGGATTTTCATTAGGTGTATTTAGAAGTTTGATCACTTTCTGAGCCCAATTTGTTAACCTTTCCCATCATATCTGCAGAATGGTAAATGGTGCGTCGGTTGGCAGAACAGTGGTTCCCAGTCTAGGGATGGAAAGGACATGATTCTGTTGGGAGGTTAGTGACGAACAAACGCATCTACGTTTTCCTAGATTCTGATTATGAAATTCTGCTGCTGCAATTTGCTTTGTCCATATCAGAACTTCGACATCGATTCTAAATCTTAAAATTTGCGTGAATGCCAGTTTATTGAAACATCATGTTCATACTACTTAGTACACTAGTGTTATCTGTACTGGAAATTATGAGAATTGGGGAACAAAAATAAAAGATACAAGACATTGGAAGCACAATCCCATTAAATGTGCAGAGTTACCATATAAATTATTCATCCAAAAGATCTCCTAAGCAATTGAAAGTTCATCAAGAGCGGTACTTCAAATCACTCAAACAAAGACCTGAAGGGATTCTTCCCCCCCTCCCCCAACTTTTTTAAAGAGTCATTTGTAGAGATGAAACTAAATTAAATGGTGATCTTCTTGGGGATTTACACATTATTATTAACCAGTTCTTCCATTTGTTTCTGATTTCAGATTTGGTGCTTCAAAATAGGCTAGTTCTGTACGATCTGGAAAACCAGGCCATCGGTTGGACAGAGTATAACTGTGAGTATAACCAGTTTTTCCATTTGCTTCTGATTTCATATTAGTCTAGATGGATAAAATAAAACTAGGCGGGACGAAAAATTTGATGGGTAGGCGGGTAAAGTAATTGGCCTCATGCCTTTATTATATTCCATTGACTTACTCGTGTCAAACTATTACTCATTAGTCCAATCAGCGTGCCTGCTACATCAACCTCTAACTTAACAGTGTCTACTATTTGGTGCCGAAAATTTCACTACTCTTAAAATTTTTTTTGTTCTTGTTTTTTTGAATATATATTGCAGGCTCTTCAAGCATCAAGGTGAGGGATGAAAGCAGTGGAGCCACATATTCAGTTGGTCCTCATAATCTTTCTTCAGCTTCTGCTATGAGAATTGGAAGAATTTCAATTCTCTTTCTAATACTTCTGCTAACCATGCTTCATTCTTTCAGAAATTAGAGTGTTTCCCAAAGTGACATCAATTTTACCATGTTGTATAATAATTATTTCAATGTAAATATGCTCTGCCCACATGATTCTTTTTTCATTATTGAATTGGTTCTTTGTGATCCATTGACAATACTGAATATATAGATATTTTTTTGGGCTGAGTGAAATACTTGTGTTGGTCTTTTTGATTATTGAAAAATCAAACTGTCTTTGTTTAAGACCAATTTTCATTTTCCCAAGCTGCCCATAATTATTATACAGGCCTCAACTTTAACCTATATGGAAACTTTATTGTAATGTTACACTATTTATTCAATCTTCAAGTATTTATTGTTCACAAAAAAAATGCATGATTTGTTTTCTTTATTCCACATTTAATTTTTCTTTAGGGATGACAAAAATTGAGAAAAATATTTATTGAACTTTTTTTTTTTTGCAGTCGAAATGAGAATACATAGCCTACCTTGATCTCGTCATTACCCTTGATTTCTTAAAATACAAATACATTACATATTTGTTAACCTTTTTGGTTAAACTATTTACAAAAATTATTAAATATTCTAAAAATGAATTATTTTAGGTAGAAAACAACATGAATACAGTTTTCTTTTTGGATTTAAAAAAGAAATAATGTAGTTTGTAAAAAATAAAACAAAGTTGATAGTTTTGAAACTAATGACAAAGATCAAGGCAGGCAATGTAGTCTGAGAAATCAAGGATATTCATGTTGAAAATTTTAGAAAATATATAGAAATGTAAATTTTGGAGGGGGAGAGAAATAATAGGAAATACTTTTTAGATGAAAATTTTAAAGAGATAAATTTAGGTAAGAAAATATTTTAGAGTAAGAAATTTTATTAGAGAAAAATATGTTGAAGAAAAAAAGGTTGAGTATTAGAAGAAAAAAGATTTTGAAAAACAGAAATATGTTTTTAAAAACTAATTTTTTTGTTTTTGAAATTTACTAATAGTTTACAAAACGATATTAAAAAATAGAAAATTGAATTAGTTATCAAATTTTTCAAAAATAAAAAATAAAAACAAAAAAACACCAAATATAGAGAAAGACCAATTTCAACATTTGAAAAACATGACCAAATAATGAAAAGTTTACAAAATTAAAATAGAAATTGACCCAAAATTGAATATGAATATTGGAGATTCTTGAAGTGCTTTTGAACAATTCACATAGAAGATACTCAAATGTCTCAAATTCAAGCTCAAAGTTGAAAACTTATTAACTTAAACTAAGCTATTTTTTCAAAGCCTCCTACAAAATAAAAATAAATAAATCTGTGTTTTTCATTTTTTAATAGTTGAAGAAAGATGTGTATTTTGAAACCTTTGGAGTACATAGTTATCTTTAATTACAAAAAAAAAAAGGAGCATTTAGTTGAATGTTATATAAAATTCAATACATTGTTGGATTTTAATTTGGCTGTGATTTATTTTTTGTTGGTTAATTAGTAATGTTTAGAATATTTGATAATACAATAATTTAATTACAAAAGATTGAAGGTTAGGCACAAGTTATCAACAAGGATTGATCCATTAAAATTACTTTTTTTCTTTTCCGCAAGTGTCTGGAAACAACTTTCTCACGAAACAATTGTCTGACCATACAACATTTGATACCAAGAAACATATGGAAAAAATTAATTCATAAGATAGAAACTCTATATTTAAGTAAAAAAAAAGGCACACCAAAAGGAAAATGAGCTTTCACCTTCACCCAATAGAACAAAATTCAAAAAGAGAGAAGCCACGAATGAGCAACGTGCACTTCACAAAAAGGCCAATTGAAGAAGACTTTAAGATTTGCAAAACAAGTTGAATCTTAGAGGGCTTTACAATCACAAAATTTATTATCAACATGACAAATATAACCAACAATTCGTACAAGATTTATGACAACAACAAAAGGATGGCAAGTATCAGATTCTACAAAACTCGAATTCTAGCGATATGAGAGACTCGACGATTCCCAGACGCACTAATAAGGCTGGGCCGACCTCTCTCGGGTTCAATATTTTATGATTTCTTTTCCTCTCCTACAGAAAGAATAATAACAGAAGCAAGAAAAAGGAAAGCTGGTAAAATTTTACCCAAACAAGGCAGTAGGCAGTAGGCACCCATGAGAATGAGATGAATCTTCTTTACTTTTACTTTTCTTACTTCCGCCCTTTCTTCTCTTCTTTTCCAGGATCGAATCTCGGCAGGTTCACCAAAGTGTTCACGCGTGAGACTCCTTCAAGGGCGGACCATTCTATTCCCACCTCATAATGTTCTTCCTCCTTAAATTCATCTTCTTCTTCGCTCCCATCCTGCAGAATTTCCTTGCTCGTTCGGACAGTTCCCGACCGAATCAGACCATTGAGGCCAGAAAGATCTTCGTTCTCAACTGCACTGCTGATCACTTGATCTGCTGATGTAGTATGTTGCTCTTCTGACTTGGCATTGGAAGCAGATGATAAAGTGCTGGAGTTTGAGTCGAGGAAGAGGCAAACCACCGCACAGTCGTCGATCTTGGAAGTTGGGTATTTATATTTCCATGCTTTAACGGCTGTCTCGACCAGGGTTCGAGCTGCGGTGGTGCGTTTTGGAGCTGATGCAACAATATCTACAACCTCTTTGTTCGACAGCACATCCCATATCTGCAAAAAGGAACACAAACCAAACTCCAGACATGAGAAGAACAGAAGCAGGATCCACTTTTGAAAGCAAATGGTAGAATAAACTGTTCTCATAAGTCATACTCCATCTGTAGCCAGAACAATGAATTTGTCTTTTTCAGTGAGCCGTCTATATGATATTTCAGGTACGGAGATAAGACCAAAGTCTTTGAGACAGAAATCTCCAAATGCTCGTGCCATGGCGAGTCCAGGAGAGTTGCTGTTTGGAAGCCAAACTCGAGGAACATCAGGTTCATCTTGGAGAGCAAAGACACGACCTTTACACTTACGGATTCTCTCTGCTTCAGCTGTTAAAGGGAAAAAGATCATCGTACAAAATTACTTTAGCAAAGTTGGCTACAGTCAAATAAATTACAAAGTAACTTAAAATGTGGCTTATACGAACACAGTCCAAAGTACTAGACTTAGATGATTGGAAATGAGATAAGCCCCTCTAGTTATTATTCAAGATATACAGTACAGCCCATTGTCCAAAACTTCCATATTGGATTGTTACCAGTTGTTTAGAAAGAAAAGGAAGTACTGACTTTGTATTTAAACTCGAGGAGACTTGGATACCATTTGGTTTGAGATTTTATTTTTATATTTTCACAAACAAAGAATACTATGAAAACAATAAAAATGTGTTTGGCACACTTGTTTCTGACACTGTTTCTAAAAATTTTGAAAACATTTCCAAAAATAAAAAGGAAGAAAAGGAGAGTAGATTTTCATCAGTACAGTAATATGAAAGGTTTTTATCATACTGCTCCCCATCAATTTTCTGCCATAACAACATTATTTATGTAGAGCCCATATATTAGAACTTAGAAGAATATTTCAATAGAGTCGAGGTCAGGGTTGAGGATGGGGGAAAGAGCAAAGACCTGGAAGATTTGGCTTGAGATCCACCGTCAATTGAATTGCAACAAGAGAGCCGTCTGTATCTCTCGTACCCAAAACAGCTCGCGAGTCCCCAACATTTCCGATGACAAGATCCTGGCCCTGAAAAAAGCCCAACTATTTTCATGAGCAAAGAGAAAAGATATCTTATTTGAAATCAAATCTGAAACATTTATTTTTTAATATGAAACAGCACCTGCTTCACCATAGTCACTGCTGTAGTCCCACTACAGAAGCAATCTATAGTCTGGTGCATTCTTAGTTCCCTGTCCATAACTTTAAAAGCCTTGAAAAATGAATCCCTCAAAGTATGGAAAATTTCAGGTTGCTTTTCTGTTCCATCAACATCAGTGGAGGCCCTAAACTCTTCATCAGCAGATAAAAAGGAGGTAGCTTCGTCCGAGTTAATGCTTCCAGTGTTAAGGCTGATCTCTTTAAGAACATCATCCGTGGTCAAGTTGACCTCCCAATGTGCACTCAGCCTGAGAGGAAGAGAATCCCGAACTTTCTTTGCAACCATATGACCGTAGGGGCCGTGGCCATCGAAAACCCCACAGAATATTGTGTCAGTTCGAGAGCCAAAATTCTGAAATCGAAGTTTAAATCAGAGTCAGTTGAGATAAAGATATCATGCCATGCTGGTGCACGTTCTACTATCTGACAAAAGGGGAAAACAACCTAATGGTCGCCCCTACCAAGAAGGCAGAACAAAAAGTGGTAATGGGATGCTTGGAGATACTCCCCAAGATCCCGGATTTGAATCCATGTTGAAAAATGAAAACTCATGAAATTAAAAGCTCGTGCTATCTCTCGGAGTTGGCTAGGTGGGCAAAGCCTCCCCACGACTAGTGGAGGGCGGGTCATGAACATAATGCAAGGAGTGAGGCCCACACCTAGGTTATCAAAAAGAAGAAAAAAAAACATACACAACATTTTTTTTTTTAAACAAATAGTTATAGGATATAAAGTTGGCAGAAGCAAAAATAAAATTTGAGTAAAGAAGAAGCAACCCAAGTGATGTAAACTGTGTTGGATCAGATTAATTAATAAAAGAGACTCCAAGCAAGCAATTAAGCCTTGAATAACCTATGCATATGCTGATAATAGGAAACTCACACGCTATGGCAAACTCGAAAGGAACAAAATTAAGCTTAAACAAATCAATGGATTTTCTTTCATTCTTTCCGTTTTCTACTTGGATCTAAGATTATGGGCGTGGACATGAGAAGAGTAAATACTAAATAGGTTGTGAAAGAGAAGCAACCTCCCAAACAATCATGGCATCTTGATTGGTCCCCTTCTTGCCCTGCTGCGTGAACAGAGAGGCGACATCACTGAAGCCATTGAGGCAGAGGCGCCCCGGAAGCTGATGCAGCGGGAGATCGCCGAACGACGAATTCCGGGAAGAGTTTCGTCGCCTGGAGTTCTTGCGGTTCTTCCCGGAACCCAAGGCCGGAGAGGTTGGGGATCCAGGAAGGGGGCTCCTGCTCTCCGCAGACAAGCAGGACCCCATCCGAAGGGCCCTGACAATGCTTAGAATGCACTCCAGACCAACCCCGCAATGAAACCCCTCACAATTTTCTCTGTGCGGATCCGTCAGGAAGGAACCCCTTCCGCCTTCCAAATTCCCCGATCGCTTCAATCCAACCTCATCAGATCCTTCACCATCATCAATCGATTCCAAAATTACAAACACTAAACAGAACAAAGGCAGGGCGCTTTCCTGGAAGAATCAATGCGGGAATCCCACTGCAGCACCTTCTTTTCGCTTTAATCCAAAAAGGAAGATAATACAATAATAATAGGATAAAAGTGGAGATCTATTTTTGCATGCAAATGGGTGAAGATAGGATTATACTTTCCGATGCCGGCGATATGGTAACTTGTGAGGATCAATCGGAGACGACAACGATTTCCCAATTGACTGAGCTTCCTTTCAGTGCCAAATTATCCGGGGAAACGAAGAACAAAAGGAACACCCCCAATTTTGAATCGGAGAAATCCCAAAACAGAGGTTGTACCACGGATCAATCTCGGATCACAGAACAGGCAATCGAAACACGAACAGGTGGGTAAATAAGGAGAGGGAGAGAAGGAAATGAAGTTTAGAGAGAGAGAGGAGAAAGAAAGGAAAGGTTGAATCTGGAGAAAGAATAGGAACCACGAAACTTTTGCAAATGGCAATTGGCAAAAGTTACAAATATTTCAACGTGTTTTTGGACCTTGTGTTGTCTATCACTCTCACAAATCTCACCTTCTCCCCCACACAAATTGTGGCTCCATAAAATTGGACAAACTTTTTTCATTTATATCTATTTTCATGTCTCAAATACTACATGTTTAAGATCAAAAGTTTTAAATATCGAGGTTGATTGAAAAACATAAGTTGTCGAGGTTGAGTGTCAATACCAATAAAAATATCGATAAAATATCAAGATTGATGGATGTTTCTATAGAAAAATTTTAAAAATAGTAAAAAAAATTTAATTTAACAAATAAATATTTTCTATTTATAAATAAGTTAAAAATAATTAATATTAATAATATATATATATTATAATTTTTTTTATTAACTTTTCATATTTTGTCAATTTTTTTATATTGTGATTGAAATATTGATTTACTCCTCATGTCGATGTCGAATTCATAGATACATGAACATGTTGATGGAAATGTTAACGTGTGGATGGATATTCAATATCATGGTTTTAAAGGAAAATGTCGATGTGTTCTAAAACAAAATGAAAAATGTCGATGTCTGAATTTCTATGGTTTTGTCGAGTAAATGCAAATAGAATGTTGTTGTTGATGAATATTTTTGAAAAACTTATGAATTTTAAAATTTAAAAAAAAAATGAAAAATGTCGATGTCTGAATTTCACCCTCATATGTCGCAATCAAATAGACTCCTAAGCTAACTTTATATTTGACATAAAAAAATGTTTAGGAGATGATGATATAAAATTCGAGAAATAATTTTAAATGAACGAAATTGAATTTGTTTATTTGTATGTTCACTGCGAAGAGAGAAAACAAATTACTAAGGCAAGATTTTATCTGGATTTATAATTTGTAATTTACTTAAAAACGTTATAAAATCCGACAAATTTTGATAATTTTGGTTGGAAAATTTGTTTACTTTAGAAACACGTGAAATCACATCAAATTTCAAATTATTATATTTCGTGATAAGAAAAAAAATCATTTGAAATTTATGGGTATAAAAACATCCCTCAAATCATCTAAAGTAAGAATAGTAAAAGTCTGAGTGACCCCACCATATGGATCCTCTCATTACACTCCATTCACGTGATATATTAAATTAGCATGAATTTAGTGACAAAATTACATAGGTAGAATCAACCATTTATGCAAGTGTTCTTGGACTCGCATGGTAAGGAGGACCACTCTGTTTTCCCAATAGCTCAATCGTTTTAGAAACACATTCAGTCAGGAAACTGACAACGTTTCTATACAAAATAGAATTTATGTTCACTCATATAATGAAAAGTGAAAATGTGTATTTTTTTTCTCGTCTAATAAGTATATAATTAAACAATTCATAAAAGTGTTGGTTCAAAGCATAAATAACACAAGTCGACCAACTTGAGCTGTCTAACCCAGATCGACCCATTCGAACCCATCAAAGACAACCAACATCAATGGCTGACCACCTTGGATGGACCAATCCAGGTCAATTACCATAGGCCACCCATCTCGGATCAACCACTTCGGGCATGCCAACATGGGCTAACAACTCAAGGCAACCACCCCGTGTCAATCAAGCCAGACCGACCAATCCAAGCTGACCACCTCAATCCTAACCATCCCAAGCTCGACCACCCCAAGTCGATAAGCCCAAGTCAATTGGCTCGAGTCGACTAGCATGAACCGACAAGCACGA